GACCCCCCCAAACCCCTATTTGGGGAGATCTTTAGGGGCTCTGGTGGTGCTGGGACCCCCTGGCTGTGGGTGAGGAGCGCTCAGCTGACAGGGAAGAGGGGTCAGAGGGGATAAAAGGGGTAGTGGGACCCCCAAACTGAGTTGGACCCCCTAAAAATGGAGGGGGGCAGGAGACCACGAGGGCTGGGGGAGAGTGGGAAATGAGGGGGAGAGGTCAGTGGGGGGGAAAAGGGGAGGGGGGGACCCCCCAAAACTGATCAGGAGGTGGTTGGTGACTGGGGGGGATGATGTGTAAGGGGTGGAAGAGGAGGCACAGTGAGGACTGTGACCCCCAAAATTGATCTGGGGATCGAGGAGATGGGGGGACACCCCGTGGTGAAGGGGAATGGAAGGTTTAAAGTTCACCGTGGCAACATTTGGGATTTAGGGAATTGCAGAGCTGTGACTGAACCACTTCTGCCCTGCAGGTTTTAATGAGGGCAAATCAGATCCGTTAATAGGGAGTGACCTATTCATTGTTACAGAGGATCAGACAAAAAATTTTAATCAGAATTATTTACTGCACGATACAAACAGTTAAAACTGCATAAGACAGCACGGTGCACTACACCAAACTGTTGAAACAATTGTTGAAGCAATAATTATTAATTAGAGATGGATGTAACTCACCCAGCCCGACGTTCATGGGGAGGTCTCTGCTCTCGACCTCGAGGGGGTCCCCAGCCAAGGCAGGAATCTCCAAACACACCCCCCCAGGAAAAAGGGGGTTCTGCTGGAAGAACCCGCCCCTGGGAAACGGGGACTGGACCTTTTCCAGTTATAATGGGACGGAGTGAACAGTCACCGGACTCGGGGGTTGTTAATTGTTGAACCCAGAGTGGATTCCAGCTCCCCTCACCGGTGGGTCCGTCGGTGCTTGGCCAAGGCAGAGCTCGTGAAGAAGCTCTTCCCGCACTCCCCACACTTGTAGGGCCTCTCCCCGGTGTGGATCCTCCGGTGGGCGACGAGGGTGGAGTTGAGGGTGAAGCCCTTCCCGCACTCGGTGCAGCGGAAGGGCCTCTCCCCGGTGTGTGCCTGCTCGTGCCTGAGGAGGCGGGAGCTGCTCTGGAACCTCTTCCCGCACTCCGAGCACTCGTAGGGCCGTTCCCCGGTGTGGCTCTTCTGGTGCAAGGCCAGGTGGGAGGCGCAGACGAAGCTCCTCCCGCACTCCCCGCACTTGTAGGGCCGTTCCCCGGTGTGGCTGCGCCGGTGGGTGCGGAGGGTGGAGCTCTGGCTGAAGCTCTTCCCGCACTCCTCGCACTTGTAGGGCCGCTCCCCGGTGTGGCTGCGCCGGTGGCTGAGCAGGTTGGAGCTCCGCCTGAAGCTCCTCCCGCATTCCAGGCAGCGGTGGGGCCGCTCCCCGGAGTGGACGCTCAGGTGGCCGATCAGGTGGCACCTCCGGCCGAAGCTCTTCCCGCACTCCTCGCACCTGTAGAGCAGCTCCCGGGTGTGGGTGTTGCGGTGGCAGAGCAGGCTGGACCTGTGGCTGAAGCTCTTCCCGCACTCCCCGCACGTGTAGGGCCGTTCCCCGGTGTGGATGTGCCGGTGGGTGAGGAGGGTGGAGCTCCGGCTGAAGCTCTTCCCGCATTCCAAGCACCTGAAGGGCTTCTCCTTGGCGTGAAGATCCTC